CTAGAATGGAGACCGCGTGATCGCCAGCGCGTCTGGTTTGAGACGCTGCAAGATATGGCTGTTAACCGACGTCGGTGTTGTTCTTGTTATTTTCTATCCTAATTGCCTGAATGTGTGTCTGGGGGTGTAGGCTAGCACTGAATCCCCTCCCTATCCACCTTTATTCTTCACTTCACAAGGCTTTCAAATAAATCACGGTTGTACGGCAGCGAATAACCGGTATTGAGCACTGGTATCATGCTGTGGATGATGATGATCGGTTTGAACCTAGGTTTATTCACCTTCTACGGTCCAACTGCTGCTACAATTGAATCACTTCTTCTTTCTGCTAGCCTCTTACGTGATTGCATGCCTATCGCGACAAAGCCACGGCGTTACAATCCTGACGATGAACCGTTCATTCGCTGGAAACTTGGCTGACTGTTGGGTGAAGGTATAATTGACCCTCCGAGTTCTCCCGGTAGGGCTCAAGCACTGTTCACGAAAAATTCAAACCATAAAAGAGGTATGGCAGTAAGCAATATTCAAATCATTAATCGGTTCACATACTTAAAAGCATATCGGTTACCGTTATTTGATAAAATGATTAAAGAAATTTCCCGCTATCCTGTGTTTATCACCTTGGACCTACTGAGTGGTTACCATCAAGTTCCGCTCAATGCGAAAGGCAAACTGTACAAAGCTTCTGAAGCATGTAGAGAACTGTTTCAGCTAAATCGCATCCCTTTCGGTGTAACCAACGAATTCCCACGCTCAAAAAATCGTTCAGTTGTAACACCCTTTCGGTGCCTAGCTGCCATGCTACCTGAATGAAGCAAGAGGACTGGGAAACTGGCAGGTTGCCGAAGCCTAGACAGGGGAGTCGAAAGGCAGAGGTAGGGGGAGGTAAGGGGAGGTAACCACGGACCTTGCGGTCAGTAAATTTGGGCTTTAACCACTGAGCCTACATTGATACTATTTGTGACTCTACCCAAAGCTAGCTTGACGGGAACTTCAAGTTTTTCTGCGGAATAATAAAAAATATGGAATCGTTCTTAACTGCAGAGAAAGCATCATTGCAACCAACCTGATACGCCTTTTCAGCTATTAAGCCTTTAAAGGAGTTATCAAACCTGATCCTGAACTCGTCAATTCCCTTATCCACATGACGCGAAATCCCAGCAAGAGGTTGTTGACATGTTTGCCTATTATTTTCAGTGGATACCATGCTTCTCTGACAAATTCAGTAGGCCTGTCAACAATAACACGTTTCTCCTACCGGGGTGTGTACAACAGTTTCGAAAATTTGAAGGAAGAATTAGAGAACACTATCGTGGTGGCGGTCGGCTACAACGCACCCTTGGTTGTCAAGACGGATGCCTCAAACATAGCTGTTGCTGCATCTGTGACTCAGAACAACCAATCCTTTGCCTTCTTTTCTTGATAACTGACACCGAGCGGGAAAATCACTCTTCCATTAAGGGGCGTACGCCATCGTTGAGCCTATTCGTAAATGAAAACATTGTCTTCTCGAAATACTCCAAGCTTATCGCTGACCAACGATAGTTTTCCTTTACGTATGCTGTGTCACAGGAAAGTGTGATTAAAAAAGCATAAAATACAGCGAAGGAAAATGGAACCCCCTGCTTTTAGCTACGATATTACCTACAGACTTGGAAAAGACATTCTGGTAGCTGACACCTTAACGCGTAACTTATGCGCCAATGCGATTGGCGTGGTGATAAATTAATAGACATTCATTACTCCTTGTGCCATCCCGGATTTAGTCGCGTGCACGGTTTTGCCGTTTTCCCTCCAAGCTGTGAAACAAATCACCTCTGAATGCACAGTTTGTGACACCATCAAACCTTAATTTTATAACACCCCACTGCTTTTATCAAAGCAACCCAACCATTCGAACAAATGAGTGCCGATTGTAAAGGACATTTACACTTTGTAATTCGAGACCACTATTTCATTACTGTCGTTGACGACTGTAAAAGCGCGTCGGCCGTTTTCTGTGGGAATTATTATCTATTTGGTATGCTTGCCTGTGTACATTCGGATCGTCGCTCCTTATCCATATCTGACGAACTGTGCACATTCCGATGATTTTCCCCCAACCAAACAACCGCTTATAATTATTCAGGAGTACGGACAAGTCCAACGTCTCAACGAGACACTCTAGAGCTTAGAATCAGGACTAAAGGCTTTCAAATCTGTTACTGGGAGTCGGCTCGGTCAGACGTTTTTTACTCTGTACGGTCCCTTCTCTGCGTTTCCCCAAATGCCAGTTCACATGGACGTATGTTTCGGTTTGAACGTCGGTCATCCTGTGGCTTGTCTGTACCAACCTAGCTAACTACTCCAGGACCTTTTTTGGTGAAAGGATAGTTGAGGAAGTGGACTTGTGAACTGCAATTCCCATTACACCAAATTCATTTTTCATGGGAAAAGAAAGCACCGTATCTTTCCGCCATCTCGCTCCCTGTGATGACCGCAATAAGTTCACTTCACATGGAGTATGTTTCGGTTTGAACGTCGGTCATCCTGTGGCTTGTCTGTACCAACCTAGCTAACTACTCCAGGACCTTTTTTGGTGAAAGGATAGTTGAGGAAGTGGACTTGTGAACTGCAATTCCCATTACACCAAATTCATTTTTCATGGGAAAAGAAAGCACCGTATCTTTCCGCCATCTCGCTCCCTGTGATGACCGCAATAAGTTCACGCGCACTTCATCCAGTGAATGCAATGACAATGCAATATTAAAGCTCCGTTTATGTGTATAGCGTTTTTATGGCAGCCGGCGAAGTTTGAAGATTTGTTCGACGTAACTCCTACCAGGCATGAACCTCGCTTGCCTCTCTCGGGTAGGTTTTTCATGTACGCTCACAATGCAACGAAGAAGTAGCGCCGTGACTCATTACGGCTAGGGCCAAGCTGATGCGCTTGTGAAGACCGCCCCCAACGTGGGCCCCTTTTTTGAAGTTGGACATTACTGCTGATCATCCTTAATTGCCTTCGCTCAAATCCAGGCAAACAAGCCAGAAACGAGCTGACTGAGGACTTTGCTCCCATCTTTAAACATTGAAGATGAGAAGTCACCCGCACTAGTAGCCCTGTGGCTCTTGAGAGAACAGATGCAGTCATAAACCTCCGAGGCCTTATGGGGTTCCACAATCACCGTCCTCCACTCTAATTGTAGGATCTAAATGAGTGGTAGCTGGTGTCCATGAGAATTTTTATTCGAAGTATTCGGCCTAGCGGTCGAATCGTTCTTTAGTCCTGGTCGTCGCGCCACCTTGATCTTTGATGGTTTCGCTCGTAGGTGTTTTCCTAGGACCGGTTGCACGGGTCCACTGGAATGATCTTGGGGCATTCCAGACTTTCTGGGCCTTTTCCATTTCCTTAGCGTTCCGTGTCCTTCCGTTCACGATCGGCGCTCACCCTCACTTTGACTTGACGTCTGATAATCAGTCGCTTCAAATTACGTTCGGGGCTGCGGGGACATCATCATCGGCCTTAAAAATCGCCTACCTATCGCGAAGTGGTTATAACTATCAGAGTTCGGTTCACCGATGATTTGGGGTGATCTCTTTCCAGCACTAATTCATATCTGATGGTGGAGCAGCTGGATCTGGGAACTTCTGAGTTGTTAAGCGATTTGTTTACGCCTTACGCGGCTGTGGAAAACGAGGGAATAGTCGACTCTAGACGAGCGCGTGATTGAAATCCACAGATGTGTTCCAAAACCAGCGGCAGTCATCAATCCACATCACCGGAAACTGATAGCGATGTGATCTATTTGAGTTCCTAGCTGGCACTCTGTTGAAGGACAATTGTGGCCGGAAGGCTTTGGTTATTTCGGTAGTTAATACTGAGTGCAATAGACTGCCGTCAGCGCATAGCTGAAACGATCGTCCGCCATTGTCCGTAGATACCGAGTCTAATCGATGTCGGCCACCCAGTTGAGTCGTTGAGCGGAGCCGTTCCACTTGATGAGATACCCGTTAATAACCGGCTCTGCGAAAGAATTTCGAGAAAGTGAGATCCATCGCTGTGTTTGTTGTGTCTGCCTACGCCCCGACAAACTTTAGTTCTGAATCCTCCAAGAACTGTTAGTGACACTCTAAGTGCTCTTCTACAGCGGACCATTAGTTCAGACGTCTTTTGGTTGCTGGTGATATGAACGATTAGGTAGGTAGGCCAAGCGCTCCAGAGTTCTCCCTAGTCGTCTTGGGTTGGACGTGAGACTCACGGGCAGCAGAGAGTGCCTGCTACAGCTGTGTGTCAGCCATAGGGTGTTCTCCATTGCGCTATCGGTTTGTGAAACAGCGGTAGCCATTTGAATACGTGGTTCCCACCACCGAACTAACTCGAAATCAAAATAGACCTGAATTCCATCAAATTCTGGATGTAAGGGTCGCTCACCGCGTGTAAAATTGTATGATGAGCTCTCCAAAAGCTTCTGTACAAAAGGTAGTGTCCGGCAAAAATGCCGGCTCCTTTCCGTTCTGTTGAACTCCATCATCGATACAGTAATGAACACTGTGACGTCTTGTAAAACCTGGTGTTCCTATGGTTCTCGATACGCACACTGTCCGTCTACAGTGCGCGGATGACATCTCTTTCATCTTTGAAGGCGAAGGCGAACCACACTCTGTTGTGCAAACTAACCACCCTCTAGAACCTTCAAACTGTAAAGTCATGCTTCAGAACGTACAGTCTCTGAACATACTCCTAACAATCCAAGGAGAATCAATGGAGATTGCGGAAAACTTTACTTACCTCGGCAGTTGTGTTATCTCTGAGAGAAGTGTGTCTGATGAAGCTAGTGCACGAATATCAAAGGACCGGATCAAGTTTGCCAATTTTCGTCATTTGTGACATCACAAAGACATATCGCTAGCTCTAAAGGATCGTGTTCACCGGGCTACGTTAAGGGCTGTGCTGTATGGTTGCGCGACATGGCCTCTGGGGCAATTGGTGTGAGACACGTTTAGATTTTTGACCACTCGTGATGTCGAATTCGGCCGACAAATTTGTAACGAGGTAACCAGGGGAGAGCCTTTTCGGTTATGCATTACAACTCCGTAATTATTATTGTTTTGTTTGTGAATTATGTTTCATAAAACCTGCCATACTAGGTGAGTGCTTCAAACTCCAATTAATCAACATGCTTTCTGATAAATTAACTCACTCCAGTGTCATTCAGCTGTTTTTGAACTAGATATTTGGTCCGTCCCCCAACCAGTAACCTACCTCTCAAAGTAGGTAGCTTTGGTCAAGTCCCATGATCGGCCCTTATTGAAGAACCACCCTATTGACGTAGCCAGTAAGGTTGTGGTTTACCACAGTATCTTCCAAAAGGGTCTGGAAGGACCAAACATGAACCCACGTCAACTTTTTTTTCGTTTTAGCAATCCTGTAATGGTTGGTCATACATTTTGGTTAAAGGAACGGATCAACGATGTCATCTCGTTTGAATTTCTTGGTCCCCTGTTCATCATACCCCCAATTGTTCTCTGCGGAGCTTTGAGTTCGCTTGCCACTGTCCTTATGGGCACGCTGGTCTTCCTGTTTGTTCTCAGTGCATCTATCTCTGTAATTCTGACGGCACACCAGGGCCTGGTTTCTCCAGTGGATCTTTTCTGTAGCCAAATACCCAGTGGGCTTAAAGTTTTCTTATCAAAATCGTAAGTTGACAAGTAAGATGTCTTTATTTCGCGAAACATCATCCTGTTAATTCCGTTGAAAAATTCGGTGTGTAAATCTTGGGTTTGAAATACTATGCCTGGGTAATCGTGTAGACAAAACTGCGGCCATGCTGCGTAATCGTATTATTGCCCTCTTCACGCCGGCAAGAGTTAGGATTGCTTGCTTTAGTGATGCATTCTTAAATAAACGAGCGTTACTCAGCCTCATCCTTTCTCCATACAAATCACCCGTACTGTCAAGATCGCGGACGCTAGTGCATCACTTCTAGTAGAATTGAGCGGTTGCACTTGCCGAACACATTCACACAAAAAAGGAACATGCTACTTTTAATCACCCTCCCACTTCCATTTGTCAACTGTGGAAATCACGACTAGATGTTCGGAATTTAGGTTTTTATATTGTGGTCATGTATCGTCAGAATGTGCCATGGTGGCTACACTTTTCGAATACGGAATGTTTGATCGTCGACGACTACGACGCAACAAACACCTGACGTGGCGGGATTAATTCCCGGTTAGTCGTACTCAGTACACCATAATTCTGAAGGTGGGTAGAGGATTTATTCCCTTCATATATAAGGAAATTCTTCTGCTTTAATAACGGTTGACTTCAGGATAGACATTTTAATGAGGTGGTCGAGGTTTGGCCGCTGTACCAATGTCTTGTTCTGCGAGAAGCTCGTAAAGCCCCTTTGTAGAGCTGTAAGTCCTCTGCGTAAATGAAAAGTGCATTATTTTTAAGACTCGTCTAAAGTTTCATGCTTTTATTTCTCCCTTATTTAAGTAGACATCCAGCATTTCATAATGTAAGTCTTGATAGAGTAATTTGCCTTGGGCCGACAGTAATGCGAAAATTCATCGACATGAAGATAAAGTGCCATGTGAACTGTAAGTTTTTTGCTGGTTGTTGAATGTTTCTTTGGGCACTTAGGCTTGATACTCTTAGTCTACAGGCTAGACAACTTCGTATAATTATCATAGAGGTTTTGTCAGGAAGTTCTGTGGCCAGGACTTCCTAATATTGTATATATTATATAATATACATATTATAATATACATAATATAATATGTATAATATAATTATTACACCGTACGTTATGAGCCTGATTATGGTCATCGTTTCAGAGAGACTTGGTGGGCAATCGGGGGATTTATTGCCGGGCAACGTCTCGCTTTTGACCGAAAAGCTTCGTCAGACCATTTTGCTGATCACTGCGCGCCGCCTCGTGTTATCTGGGTTGATCTAAAACCGTTCTTATGCTTGCTAGTTCTACTCCTTCTATTCTGTTCACGCTGGGATGCTTGGCGATTTATACCACCTCGGCCACCAGTCGCTGTGGTGTGAATCTCAGTCTCCGTCTCAGGATACTCACATTTTCCAACTGTATCCTTTGCCCGGTCTATAGTGCATGCCCTGCCATTGCCGAATCCTTGACAATCGCCTGATGTTCATCTACGTTTCTCGGTGGCCTGTTAATGGGTCGCTTATGCTCACTGGTCCTGGTGTGCGATTCTTTGGCTGTCTGACCTATGTAAAACTTTGTGTAGTCGCTACCTTTTATTTTT